TACGAATAGTTTACACTTGTGACATTGTACCATTTTGAACCGTACAGTAAGTAACGCCACGAGTAAAAAATTAGTAAAGCAAGTAATCACAGGGGTAAGTTTCTTATTCACGTCCGTACGCTGAGTGCGCGCGCGCGAGACTTATTTATTTTGCTAAGTTTTATCGAAATATCCTTAAATTCGCCACTACACAGGACTTGACACTGGAGATAATAAAAATCGGTTCTTACTACTCAAAGAATATCGTGAGAAAAACGCCTTGAATTGGAGAAATAGCAAAATCAACCATTAAAATAATTTCTCCTTAAAAAAATTTAGGCGCTATTTATAAAAATGACTCTTCATGCGTGCACAGCCCCCTTAGAGGTGGATGATTTTCTTCAAAATGAAATAGGACCACTATGGAAGTACCCACTTTCCAACAAAAAAAAAATCATGAAAATCGGTTCACAAATACCGGAGTTATCGCGTAACATACATACAAAAAAAACACACAGTCGAGTTGAGAACCTCCTCCTATTTGAAGTCGGTTAAAAAAAACTGAAATGGCGTTGAAATAGACAAGCCAGAGCTCTTAGAGCATGCGTCCCACCTTTTATTATTCCCACCCACCAAACGGCTGCTTTCTGTGGCTGTTTCAAATACAACTCGTCCAAAATATGGAATGACATACCACCATAAGAAATCTTACATCATAGGAAATGAAACTATTTTTGACTGGAGTCAACCTCACGGTTGAGTGTACTGTCATAGTCACCTATGGGACCTGTAACGGCCCGAAATGTCGGTTTGTTTGAAAAAACAAATATACGCGATTTAAATCCGGAAAAATAGTTTCATTTCCTATGTGTAACAATCGCGAAAACCTAAGAACTCGAATCTTACATCAATTCACTCTTTTAAATTCGCATTTAAAAAAAAACTTTCTACAGAATATTTTGACACGTGTATATAAATATAAAAATTTCACAAATTATCCTTAATCTCCTTGTCGCTACCTGCCTACAAAATATTTTCCCTGCCATAAATACTTTCTTTCATAGTTATATATAAACTACACATACACTCCACTTACTTTTTATATACCATCCTTTTCACAAACACACACCTCTAAGTTAAACACACATTCATTTACAATTATTATACAACCACACAACTCCTTACTCACACATTTACATCTTTCACCTTTTTTAGTTTCTTTCTAGTTACCTTGTTCACGTTTTATAGCTTATATAATAACTTATTTACCTATACAATTAATATTATAACTACATACCTTATGTTCAGGCCATTCGTGACGCCTGTCGAATATGCATTAGCAATGGATCCTACAGATGTCAACAGGCAGCAGCTACCGGGCGGCGTCCTCATTGCGTAGTTAATCTCCGGACTGTGCACGTCAATTATTTTGTATTTTCCAAAATTAAGTAAAGTAAAGTCAAGTCAGCAGTCTCAAGGAGGTTTTACTTACAAAGTCCCTTCAGTATAACCCACAAAGGACCGGCGCAATCACCTTACATTTTAACCTCGTGTTGATTATCTATTCTGAGTTACATCTTTTTTACCGGCTCACCTTAGGACCTGGCAGAATCATCAGCATCGTAGTTCGACTGAACTGCGGCATAATGCTGAGTCGGGCCCTTCTTGTTGACACAGTACACTCAACTCTATACGTGATACAATATAACACTCCAGACCATATCCGCAAACCTAGACTAGCCTTTTTCTTTATGATTACCATTGTACCTACGTCATTAGCTTCTTTGTAATGTACTGTGATTCAGCAAATAAACGAGTAATCTATGTATCTATCGAATCTACATTGACCTTAAAACTTATATTAAAGGTATTTTAACTGAAAAGTACATAAAGATATTTATTTTATTTTATTTTATTGGATAAGGTACAGCAAGAGATTACAGATCAAAACATTTCAGGAGTGAAAATATACATTTAGGATATAAACCTGCAATCCAATTACAGCTATACACAACACTTTAGTACAAAAATTCAAACAAGTTATAGTTATAGTTTAAAAAAAGGTGACTGTAGATAAAAACACCAATAAACACAAAACAGACAGAACAAAGTCAGGTGGGTGGATTTAAGTGTAGCAGTCTTCTAAAACTAGTATAGCTACAATGAAACAGATCATGGTCCGAACATATGCAATTGTAAAATCTACACATTCTATATATCGGGTTGTTACTCGAAACATTGTTGTTAGACTGTGGTACAATGAATAATTGAGGTATCCGTACATAACGCGTTGGCACCTTTATATATAGTTTCTGCAACAGAATATCGTCAGCAGAACCGTTGGCAATTTTGTGAAGCATGCTTAGGTCTGATATCTGTCTTCTTTTTTCAAGACTGACCATACCAAATTTTATTAGCCGATCATTGTAGTCAGGTATCTCTTCCTTTCTCAGTCCATGTTTAAAGCACATAGCTCTTAGGAATCGTCGCTGTATAGATTCTATTCTACCCCTATGGTTTTGGTAAATAGGAGACCACACAGAGGAACAGTACTCCAAAACACTTCTCACTAATGAATAGTACAATATGTACAAAGATTTAATATTTTGGAATGGCTTCGAGACCCGAAAAATAAAAGATAATAATTTGTTCGCCTTTCTGTGTATGTGATCATAGTGTAGTCTAAATGAAAGTGTGGAATCAAATATGACGCCCAAATCTTTTACAGAGAAAACTCGTGTTAAGGGAGATGACCCGATCTCATAAGTATACTCAATCGGAAACCTCTTTTTAGTGAAAGTTATTATTTGACACTTCTCGGTATTTAGAGACATATGATTCAACTGGCACCACTCACATAGAATGTCAATATCTTCCTGTAGCTTTATACAGTCCTCTACGCTCACAATGTCTCTAAAAATCTTAATATCGTCAGCATAAGCAAGACATAAGCTGTGAAACCTATCCAGCAGGTCGTTAATGAAAATCAAAAATAAAAGCGGGCCAAGATTAGAGCCCTGGGGCACCCCTGATACCGGAATGAATGGCTCAGAGTTATAGCCATTTAAAGCCACTAGTTGTGAACGGTTAAGAAGGTACGAAACTAGCCAACGCAGAAGACTACCGTGAATGCCTAGGTGATGAGTCTTAACTATAAGAATAGAATGATTTACACGGTCAAAAGCCTTTGAAAAGTCAGTATATACTGCGTCTATCTGATTACCTCGACCAAAAGCATCACAAATGTGAGCAGTGTAGACCAGTAAGTTCGTATGCGTTGATCTTCCCGTCACAAAACCATGCTGATTTTGGTTAAGTAAAGGACTTAAATGTTTGTAAACTTGTTCATACACAAAACTTTCGAATAATTTAGTAAAACAGTTCAAAATACAGATAGGGCGATAATTAGTGATATCTTTTTTGTCACCAGATTTGTGGATAGGAGTTACTTTAGCTACCTTCCACAAATACGGAAATACACCATTACTTAGTGATTTGTTGTATATTTTAGTTAAGGGACCAACCAATGCAGAGGAACACAGACGTATGAAAATTGGTGGAATACCGTCAGGACCCGCTCCTTTAGTAGTATCTATATTTTTTAATTTTTTAAGCACATCATCCTCTGTAATTTTAAAATTAGTTATTGAGTAACTCGACGAAGGGAAGTCTGTTGCATACACGCCTGATGTATTGCTATCGTAAACCGATGAAAAGTATTCAGCAAAGAGATCAACAACATCATGACCAGTGGTAGCAACACGGTCATTGAGGAACAGACTACTTGGTATGTCATTGGTTATGCGTTTGGTTTTAGTGTAGCGCCAAAATGATTTTAGATTTATTACCAATTCCGTTTCAATATCTGTTATGAAGGTCTTGAAACACCGGTCCATTAGTAGTTTCGATCGTAATCTAAGAGCGGTAAAAGTATCCCAGTCTCGTGGATTGCCAAACAACTTAAAACGTGCGTGAAATTTAGATTTTGATCTTAAACACTTTCTCAGACCAACAGAAAACCATACAGGGTAGTACGAACTTCTAATTTTAGCTTTGGGGGTATACTTTCCTATGATAGAACGCAGCGTGTTATAGAAAAAAACCACAAGATCATCACAACTAAGAGTTGCTGCATGTCGACCCCAGTCTATTCTGCTCAACTCCGCTATACAGCCAGCGTAATCGGTTTTATGGAAACAAAAACGTTCAACAGCTCTATTAATACCTAAAGATGGAAGTAGTCCTCGAAAATCCAGTTCAAAAGGCGGATGATGGGCATCTAATCGACTTATGGGTAAGGATTTTGCCAGCTTAAACAAATCTGGATGAGTGGTAATAGCTAAATCCAATATGACATCATTATGATTTAAAACGTGGTTTAATTGATATATGTTTGTATAACTAAACAGGTCATGTAGTGCCTCCGATTTATCACAGTTATGATTTAAGGGAGTACCTGACTTAATAGACCAATTTATATCTCGTAAATTAAAATCTCCCAAAATACAATTTATGCTATTAATCTGAGTGTTCAAAACATTCTTACAATTTACTATAAATGTTTTGAAATCTGCTGAGGGCAGATAATCAGGGAGATACACAATACAAATATTTATGGTAGTTGTTGGACCAATTTTTAACTGAACCCACAAATCCTCAACAATATCTGAATGCCATTCAGTCTTAACGACAAAATCAATATCTTTTTTTATAGCAATGAGTACTCCGCCACCATGATGCTTATTAAAACGTTTCATAAAGTTGCCATCGCGATCCCTACGCACCACAATGTATCTTTCATCAAATAATTCAGAAGATAGTACCGTTTCATTAAGCCACGTCTCGCATAAACAAATAATATTGTAATTATTACATAGAACCGAGTTGTATACATCCAAAGTTTTACTTTTTAGACCTCTTACGTTTTGATAGTAAATGGAAAGAGCCATTGTTATATTTTTGAACATCCAGACAACATTCATAATGTAATTTTAGAGAGAAAAAAAAAATAAAAACTTTAATTAACGTAAAAGGTCCAAACTGTCAATGCTCTTTATCAGAATGTATGACGAATCCGGGTTTTTTCGTGCATAGATACGACCATTTCGAACCCAAACAAACTGGTAGTTTTGTTCTTTGGCTTTCTTCCTCGCAGCCATATGCAGAATCTTATTGCTAGGCGATAGATGCTCCGATACATAGACTGGTCTTTTGTCGCCTGCCATTCCTAAGTGTGCAGTGTTCAGCTTGTCAGTGGGATTGGTTTTATTATACCGATATACAGCAGAATAAAAAGCATCACGACTTTTGATGTCATTAAACTTAACAATAATAGTACGCGGACTTTTGTTGTCTTTATTTTGTTTTGCAACTCTAGTACAGTGAGCAATTTCCTTCTCCACTAATTTATATCCAACCACCTTAGCACACTGCTCCATCAAGTTTAAAAGATTTTCGCTGCGATGTTCAGACACGCCATGTAACTCCAAATTATTCTCCCTCAAGTTCTGTTCAATGTTATTAAGACGCGACGATAAATCTGTTACTGTTGATCTTAATTGGTTATTATCATTTTTCAACTTTGCACATTCTGATTGTAAACTCTCTGTCGTAGCCTTCATTTCCTCATATGCTGTATTATAAAATGCCATTGAAGTACGAAAATCTTGTATCTCAGATTTAATAGAAGAAAGCTCTTGTTGGAGTACCGAAGTCAACATTGAAGGTAGCTCGATTTTGATAGCATTTAGCACTCGCTCAGTTATAGTACCAGCGAAGTGGTCCCATTTCTCCGTCGTGTTCACTTCATTATTGTCCGAATCAGTTGTCACAGAGCCAGAAGGTACTCGGGTAATTGTTTTACGAAAAGTGACATTTTCATTACCGGTGCTCTGTATACCCGCGCGGGTCTCCGATACGGAGGTGTGTTTAAGCTCCCGTATAGGCGTATTAATGTTACCCGTTTTTGGCTGCTTGCTCTTACACTCCACGCAGCACCAGTTACCCTTCTGCTGCCTTGACATTGTATTCCTAAAACGTTGTTGGGACACATTGGCGCAGTCAAGGTCATAGATAGCTGAGCACTTGCAACATGTCAAGAACTCACTGCTAGTATACTCAACCTTACATCCAGATCAAGAATACCTTATAGGTGCCATATTACAGTTTTTCTGTATATATTCTCTTAGATTTTTAGTTCACAATAAACAAGTTCCATCAATTTTGTTGGTGTAGGTAGGTATTTGATTATTTTCAACCAAAAAATACTGAGTGCTGAATGACAAACACGGCTCAAACCTCGCGACTCGCGAGGTCGTAAGCGCCGTGAAATACTTGGCGCTTACGCGTTCGCCACTACAATGCGAATCTTTGAAGCACTTGATGGTGTTTTTTAATGTTATGGAATTTAGAGATTATATTCCACTAAATTATGTCACTTCACTGGTTCACCATTGATTAATACTACTTTCTGGAACACTTTCAAACAGCTATAACATATTTAACTAGCCAAAATTATTTTATAAAGTTTTACAAAAATAACTACGTGTAACTTGAATGATGTTCTGGCGCGAAGATATATATATGGAAGAACTACATGGCTCTACAGTCAGTAAGTAACACCTAGAATTTCTCGGTTGAACGAGCTTTTTAGGGAAGTCAGCACAGTGAACGAGCAGTAGTTTTAGTTTACTTTAACTGACCCGACCGGGAATCGAACCCGGGAACTAAGTGATGGCGACACCGTGAAAAGTGTGCAAGCCACTTGATCACAGAAATCGTGAAATAATATATGTCGGTGGCTTTCTAGACCAACGGCTTGTCTCAAAAACAAGTGGCTTAAAAAACTGAGGCGTATTTAGAGGGCAAAGCTGATGTATCGTATATCGGTGCAGAGTCATCGTGTAGTCTTAGAATAATAACGCATAGAAACCTAGCCCGCACACGCTTAGTGAGGCAAATTGAAGCGCTCCCAAAGGGTCTACACGAGCGGGCGGGCCGTCAGTGCTCAAGGTCAACTTGCACCGCGAACAGCTCCAGAATTTTAGCTAAAAATGACGAAATGTGCGGTAAATGAGTGTAAAAATACGTCAGACAAACATAGAATAGATACTAACATCACATTCCACAAGGAAGTCACGCGTTTCAACTTGTATTTTTATATAAATATTCACTAAAACCGAAAATTAATCTACTACTAAAACTAGCCTACATGAATTTGATTTTTGCCTCACTTGTGACAATTCGTTTGATATGAAACTATCATTCTATGCGTTATTATTCTAAGCGTGTAGTTATATCAAGAAATGGAAAATTCGTAATTAATAGATACACACTTAACCACTATCACCTCGCTATAAGTGATGATGTGACCTATGACCTTTCGGTATCGTTTATTGTTCTTGCAGGCGCAAAAGCAGCGATATGGGGTATTCCAATAAGGTCATAACAATTTTGTATTTCAATGAAACACAGAATAATTGAGATGTTGAGCTGAATATTATTCCAGGTGCAGTACACATGTTACATTTAAGAATGGTATTCGATCTCTTCTATTGAAGAGGAAGTTTGGTAATTGTGTGATCTCGCAAAATGGTTCGGTCGAATGGCCACCTCGCTCGTGCGATTTAACGCCATTGGACTACTTTATATGGGGTTATGTTAAGTTGTTGGTTTAAGCCTACAAGCCAATAACGTCAAATGGGCTCAGAAATAACATGAAACGCGAAATTTCCAACGTTTCCGCTGATATGAGTGGAAAAGTGGTAGAAATATGGCTCCAAAGAATTGAACGCTGCAGACGTGCACGCGCTGGTCACATGAACGAGATCAACTTCCATTCTCAAATATAATATATGTACTGCACTTGGAATATATTTCACTCAGATATCTCAACAATTCTGTTTTATTGATATAAAAAAAATGTTAGGTCTCTACTGAAAAACCAGATACAACGAAGGCACAATAAAGAATAAAGGTTCAACCTTACATTCCGAATTTAGCAACTTTGTGCTAGCAGCCCGTAGTATTCAGAGCAATAAAAACTTGTTTAAATATGGACCCAGAACTTACACATGGAAATAATAACCGCTGATTTGTTGGAAGGAAAGTTTCCTGTTCACAGGACGCACCGTAAGCAAATGTTTATTAAGTTAAATGTTCAACAAATTTGAAATTATGCTAAAAGCTTAAGCGTAAAACAGAAAAGAACAATCATCAATGAATTTACTTACATTAAATAAAATAAAAATGTTTATTTGTGCGATTTTGTGGAATTCAACCATTTGGTGTATACAGTAAATAATAATAAGTAGAAGAATAAGGGGAAAAATCCCCAAACTCGATGAAGAACATATAATTTATTTATTCATAAAGGCACGGCATATATGGCTGCGTATCACGTTATTATATGAAATTATTTTGCCTACAGGCTGTAAAGGTGCTTTTCCATCGGCGAGGCAAGACGAGAACTGAAAAAAAAATTGCTACTGTTTCGTTATTATTCGGTTTTCGGTGTAATGAAAATTCGAACAAACGTTATTTCGGACAATAAATTTTCTACTTTGTGATAGGTTACCAATTTTAATAATCAACTGCGAGGTCTTTGCAATGATTTGCGGAAAAGCCATCTTTTTAAAGTCTTAAATTGTATGTGCCCACGGTTTCGTAACAAGCTCGAGCGGTCTCGGGCAGATATGCACAAGGCATTGCGTGAATCGTGTTTCTATGGCAAAGTTAATAAACATACTATGTTACACCAACAAATATTTCAATTCTCGTCTCGCACGTTTTCATCAATCTAGACCATTTTTACCGAAATAATACAATTTTTTTTTTCACTTTAGCCACACAAATTTCAATCCTTGTCTCGTCTTGCCTCGCCACTGGAAAAGCACCTTAAGAATCCTCGCATATGAGCTTCTGTACAAATCCCTGTATTTGATCAGCCTTTTATGTTATTTTATCACAATACGGTATAAACTTTAATATTCTGTTCAAAAGGACGCCTAAATTTCTTATTAGTGTTACTACTAGGTACCAAATCTCTCATTTTTTTTACTTTATTAGATCAGCGAAATGTACCTTGACAGTTAACAGTAGAATAAGTCTGGCTATAAACTTTACACCGTACATGTTCAATTCAAAATGATAATTGCGTTGCCTCGAATACAATAAAAACCTTTGTACAAGTCCGTCCAAAACTTAGGAATAGACCTACTAAACGGCGTCAACACAACACAAAGTAAAGAAAAATACCAACAGAACATCTGGTAATGGAGCTGCGCACAGCTTATTGAGAGGCGTGATTATGATAGATGGAGTAAAGCTACTGAATGGTGACTAAAAAGTAATTATAGAAATGAAGGACATCCTACAGCGAGATGGGTAGATGAAAGACGCGGGCCATAAAGAGTGAAATAAACACAACACAAGTTTGTGAGTGATAGATGTCCGGAACTACAGGAGACCTCAGCAATGATTGGGTACAGTGTGGGTGAAGATCATGAATAATAAAATAAGAAAAATATACATATTGTGTATTAAAGATGTATAGATGGATTACCCCGTGTAATCCAATGGTCAGTTATGACTAAAATTGATAATCATTCACCGTTTATATCTAAACTATTGTTTTTCAAGAAATATTACTAATGGTATTCTCAGAAATAGGTTCATAGAAAACAGAGACGATTGTTGTTTTCGTTACTGTATAGATACAGAAAACAACAAGTTTAAATTAAAGCGAAATGTTTGTGTGGTGCAAGGGTGGAAGCTATTGTTTCTGACTCACTGTTTCTAGCATGTGGACGTAGCAGCGAAGCGTGGATTTCATTATTCTATGTTTGTTTAGAGCTTTCAGTAGAAAATGTTTTTTTCTCAAATGTGCTCGAAAATGTGTGCATTACTTTTTTAGAAAAAGAACCCACAAAATTTGTCATTTAGGAACATTGACTTACAATTATATGGACGTCGGGTCCGCGCTAAAAAGTGTCCGAACTTACAGGGCGTTAAAATCGTATACAGGGCGTCATTCACGCTTTAGTCTTCGTTTGTTTGACTGACAGCGAAGCAAGCAAAATTAGACAGTATTGCGATGACATTACAATTTAAAAGCTTTTTCATATTCCTTTACATGCCACTACGTTTAAATAGGTGGACTTGCGACATTTTTTCGTGGTTTTTGTATTAGACCCGTCGTCCATTTATTTGTAAGTCAATGTTTAGGAAGCGTGCAACTCTTTGCCTTTCTACTAATAAACTGCTATGTAAAAATATTAAAGAGCAACTGTACTCTCTGGCATCAGTGTCCTTAATTGCGAGAATTAAAAAAATATATTCGTTCATATACGATAAACCTCGTTTGACCAAGCGTGCGAGGGAAAGTAGCGAGCATCGAGTATATAACCAGAAATAGAGACGAAATAAGGGCCATAGTTAGAAAACTCATCAGTGATACATCACTTTTATCAATGAACTCTCGTTTGCACTGAAATATAGAACGCCAACAACTGACCTGTGTGTACGTCTCCGTATATTCCAAAGATATTCTGTATTTATTGTAATAAAGATGATATCTCTAACAATGGCGTGCTGTTCCTTTCGACGGTGTGGGGAAAAACAGCAAAACATTTTTTTTTTTACAACAATTACAAAACAAACAGAATACAATTTCATCGGTAATTAAATATTAAATATGTAATTTTGCAATTTTCGTCCATTATAGCAAAGCTCAAGTTAACTGGTCGATTTGAAGTGAAACAATTGACGACAACTATTAACGATACCCGTCAATTGTTTCGAATCCGGGCTGGCCAATCGGAGCGCAGTTGTGACAGTAATGATATGGCAGAATAGTTTTCAAAGTTTTCAAACAAATTAAATGACATTTCGTCTCTATTTCTGGTAATATACTCGATGATAGCAAGCAAGCAGTCCACCCAGTACCGACATGGGCGCTTTCATTTAGAATTTCGATCATAGTCTATGGGTATTAAAGTTGAAGAACTATTGTTAGCACTGATGC